ATGGGCCTTTTCCATGTGGTGCGCGCAGAGAAGCGGCTCTGACAGATCCGTTGGCGTGGAATAACGCATTTACGAGCTCTTTGTCCGCATTCCGCTTTGGACTCCCTGCCGACGCCGCCACCGCCACCGACGCCCGACGTCGTGCCTCGTGCTGCCAGCTTACGTATCCACGAGTTACCGGTTGGGTTGGTTGTACCTTCTAGGCTACCTCATAGGTTAGGTTAACCCCTCGGGCCCCCTTTGGGTAATTGGATAATTTGACCCTGGAAGAGGTACTGTTTGGCAGCGAGGTCCATCAATGGACTTTGACCGTAGCTCCTCTACCGGGACAACTGTTCATCCGATTTCGCCAAGGATTATGTACAGTGTCTTCACGATTAGATAGCCAGAATTGTAGAGTGCATTTCATGTAAAAATAAAAAATGTATGTACAGTCTGGTACGTATGGGTATTTATGTCTGTACGATTTCCAAGAATTGAAAAGTGACACGAGACAGCCATTAATAATGCTAATAACAATTTTGGGACTCTCGTACCCAAAATGCCATTCGAATCGGTGAGAAATGCTTGAAAACGTAAAGGATCCTCAAAAAGGGACTCACACGAGCGGCAGATTGGCTACAAACAGCAACAAATACTCGAGCTCTTTGTCCCTGTGTATTTGGGGTGTTTCTATACGGGGTGGAGATCGGGAGGACGAAGAGTGAGACGGAGAATTTACAAAACATGTCCGCAACAATGAACGTTATTATTCATTTCTATTTCTTTATCTTTTTTTTTCTCTTGCCGTTATTATTGTTATTATTGGAACCCTTAGCACAGGAGTTTCTCTCATACTTGCTTCTTCCACGTTTCTCTTCTTCGGAGCTTACCTGACGGTCAGTTGTGCAGGACTGGACCCTCGTCATGTCATCCTCGGCATCTCAATACACTTCACGAATTCTGGGAGCGAGAGAGAGGTGGCGATAGGGGGAGGGAGGATGGAGCGAGAAGGAGAGAATGGAAAATCATGTATATCTTTAGAAGAGTAGGAGACCCTTTGCACCGTATATTTTTTTTCCTTGACAAAATAGCTACCCTGTCATCCTATACATCCCATAAAGGTGTACCTACATGAGCTACAAGAAACTACCCTCGGTCGTGACTGCATCTGGGCAATCTCATAAATTAACTCCCCGCTCGTATATACCACCCTTGGTAAAAATGTCGAGAACCGAAAGCTGAATTATCGTTGTCGAAGCCCGAAGTTAATCGAACCGTAAGGGATTGGAACGTATCGCAGAAAAATCCCTAGATTTCGCCCCTGGCGTTCGATAAAGATTTCCTTGGTTATTTTTTTATTTCCCTACCTTGACCTCCTTTCACTCCCTCCGTCCATATTTTCACCATCTCGTTAAGGTCTTCCAGAAGGTATCGGTTGGGGGATTGTTTTTATCGATGCTAAATCGACGAGTGAAGTTTTCCTTTTTTCAAGGTTTTTTTTTCCTTTTCTTTTCTCTGACCACCGAGCCCCGTTTATCGCTACTGGTTGGTGTTGGTGAGGTTGGTACTCGAGGCAAAGTGGGCAACTGAATTGGCTGCCGGTTCCCTTCAGGCTTCTCACAGCGCCAATGGCTCCCGGGGTCTCATTCATGCACCGGAAGCACTTCTGAAGGGATGATTGAGACGCCAACTCACCAGAATAGACAAGGTGAACTCCCAATGGCGGTAACTGTTTGTTGCACTTGGAAACTCGGCAGGTAACTTCTTCCCCCTTTTCCACTATGCTATACAGTCGCTCTACGTGCATTTTACAAGGACAATGCTTGTCTCTTGGGGGCATTTGTCGTGCTCTTCCTCCATCCTCCCTCTCGTACCTCCTTGTCGTCTTAATTCTCGAGTGCGGCGCGACTTTCCGGTCCACTCTTACGTATATGATTATTTTCGACAAGTCTGTCCTGACGTTTCACTGTCTTAATTCCTTAGACTCGCGAAGCACCACCGCGTTATCGTTCGAGTTCTAGTGACTTTTTTTTATTTTGCCCCTGACTTTTTTTTGGACCGCCTTTCACCCGGGTAAGGGATGAGGGGGCGAAACCATTCTCTGTTTACACCCCTTGGAGTACAAAATGTGACCGAAGGATCCATGCCGATCGATTATCACGTGGGCCTGACGGGAAAACTACCCCTGTGACCAAGGAGAGTCAGAGCGACGAGAAAAAGGGGGATGATGAATGTACCGTCTCAGTTCCCGCGTCAGCAAGGCTCTGTCGCTCATTTGTAAACGAGCCTGAAAACGCTCTTTACCTTTATCCTTCCTCTCTCTCCTTCTTAGGCTTCTCTTTCCTTTGCTCTTTCTTTATTATTCTCTCTTTCTTCGTATTTTTTCTTTTCTCCACTCACGTCGCCGTTAACATTAAGAGTTCTCGACTTTGCTCTACCGTGACGTTTCCATCGGGCTACGTGTGACGTTCGAGAAACAAGGAATGGTACCGGACAGAGGAAGAAGACCAAAGAATAAGGTCGAATAATAATTTTAAAAAATTATAACAAATAAATCAATAAATCTGAATATCGATTTGTTGTATTTTTTTTTAAACCACTATGCAATTATTTCTTTTATCATTATCAACAATGTCTTTCTAAATAAGACTAAAAGCCAATATCGCATGTAACGACGCGAACACGTGCCAAAGTCACGATCACGTTTTCCACTTTCATTCCGAAGCAAATTACTACCTAACTCCCAATCCTAAATATTAATCGCACACACAAAAATTCGAAATCACGATCCTTAAGCCCGTTTTCAATTTCCCAAGCGAAATTTTGATCTCGCTATTCGCCATTACACAAGTTTGCCAATCGAATGCGAAATTTATTTCTTCGCTCAGCCTACACACCACCCACCTCTTTTCTCTTGGTTGGTTAAAGCCGCACGCTCAATTACGCGACGAAAATTTTCATATCCTTATCCGATATGCATATTTCGTCTCTTTATCGTTTCTTGTAGACCTACATATACTCTCATCTAATATCCACAACCTCCCCTATCTCCAGCCCTTACGGTCCAAAATAATAAGAATTTCAATTGGGACTAACGAAGTCATAATAAAGATCAGTACACACGTAAGTCCCGCCTTTAATAACACACCCTTACATTTAATTCAAGCGCTACGTTATCGAGACGCTATAGTTAAAGTGTATAATGCCCACTTGAAAACACCCCTTGCCATAACGCAAAGCGTCGCTCTAGACTAACAGTCAGTCAGTCAGTGTATCTATATCTATATATAGTCATATTAGACGCGTTCAAAAACAACCCTCGTGTATGACCTCATAGAGAAACTAAGGGAGGGGGGTCACAATGCTCACGTCCTTATACGAAGATATATTGTATATATATATACATATACATATATATACGGCAGTAGCTACATAACTATGACAAAACACGAGTGACACGTATATTTGTACGAGTTATTACTTATTACGGCCATTGACGTCGATTTGTCGTATGGCCTTTTAGCTGGCTCGCGCAGCCCTTGAATTTCATCCCCCCAAACTATACGACGCATAGACCGTTCGCACTGTATAGGGAGTTACTATTAACAAATTGGACATCAATTTACGGGATGTTATACGCACAGTGTACTTAAGGCAAATTCATGACATACGGTACGCGTATGTGGGGAGGTGTTGCATACAGTGTAATATGCATATGCGAGGTAACCGAAGTCTCGTACGTTCCTGACCTTCGACCTTTGTCAATTTAGACCCACGTATATTTATTATAGATAGATACATAGGAAATTTATACGAATATTATTTAATCATGCGTAAATAATTTCTCTTCGAATCAATTTATGACTGATTTATTGTACGTATGACCGATTGGAGTATGAGTGAGGGGCGATAGGGGTGGGTAGGGGAAACGTGGGCGTTCGAAGGTTAAGGGTGAAAGTGGAAATGAAAAAATTCGCGTAAACGAGAAAACGTCCAAGTATTTACGTATGTTCAGCGATGAGGGAGTGTAGATGAGGGGAGGGGGTTCCTTCGTCGTCCGTTGGGCGCGCTTCTTTACGTTCTTACGCAATTCATCAAAGTACTGCACTATAAGGAGCTACTGGAGGACTTTGAAAGGACCCGCCGGCAATTTCGCCAGTTCATTCAAAAGCTGAGAAAGCACTCTTAAAAGGTCTGAGCTCTGATTTACCTTCTCGTTCTCGAGCTGGTAGTCACTCATCACCGCCCCCCCCCCCTCTCTCTGTCACTCTCGTGCTAAGAGTTTGTTTGAGAAATCGCTTTTTGAATGAGACAATTTTGCCACTTATATCCTCCCCAAGGTATTTTCAGTGACGTTATACGTGTATATACCTTTATATACATAGCCGAGCTGAGGGTAGCCAGTCCTTCTGCACCCTTCAGACCGAGGTGAGGTCCTATATCTCGGAACCAAGAGCGAACTCCACCCCGTGAAAAACGGCGTATCGGTGGGCGTGGCAGACCTTCGAGAACATTCGGATGCCGAAAATTATTCTGGTCGTGGGGAATAAAAGGGGCCTTAAAAATAAGGACACTATTCCGGGTCCGAAGGTCCTGGGCGCTGCGACACCTTGTCAGCCGCACAATAAGTCAGAGTTATCTACGAGGATTCGCGCTACCTATTACGAGAATGGAACGACAGGGAAGGGGTAGATGGGGGGGAGGAAGGGTGGGAATACGTCGCGGATGGCTCGGGAAGGGCGGGTGTCGAGGGATTGGTTTCTGAGAAGAATGAAACCACCCCACACCCCTTGGACACGAGAAGAATCCCCTGAAAAATCCTGATCTACGAGCCTCGATCGAGGCATTGTTCCCAACCCTTGAAGGGAGGGGTTGGTGGTATAAAAAAAAAGAAAAAAGAAAATAAGAAAATTCGCCATTGCCGATATCGTACGAAAAAAAAAATCAATGATCGTGCTTTATCGTTTAGTCTTGGTCGCCCGATAACGCGATAATGTCTGAACTCCTCTGTCTTTCAGGTCACAGCGGGGTCAATCAACTGGGTGGCGTCTTCGTCGGCGGTCGACCGCTTCCTGACTCGACGAGACAGAAGATTGTCGAACTGGCCCATTCGGGGGCCCGGCCCTGCGACATCTCGAGGATCCTTCAGGTCAGCAACGGCTGCGTCTCCAAGATTCTGGGCAGGTTGGTTGAAATACTGGATCCTTCATTTTACATGTATATGTATAATTGTATATTTTTCAAAAATTCAAAATAACCCTGCTCATCGATCGAACCAAAAAACACCTTATCGCGTGCATTTAAAAACTTTGCAAGGGTGGCGCTGCAGTCGCGCACCGAATACGACTGACTCGCGTTTCCCGTAATAGAAAGACGAATCTTCTACGAGGTGTGAAGGATAGGCAGGGTGTGGGTGGGGAAAAGTGGGAAGAAGAAGAAATGAAGAAAGTCTAAAGGACTAGAGTCTGCGACAGGGTTTGAAGAAGGGACACGCCGCAAGAATGCGAAACATGTAGTCACTCCCCCCTCCTATAATGTCTGTCCCTTGGGCTGTAGAAGCCCTTCCGCACACATTCCGCAACGCACGTACGTAATAACGCACTTAATCTCTTCGCATTAAGCAGATTGCCAAGGCTGTGTTATATCTTCGTATGTATATCTATACGTATGTACATACTGTATGTGTATACATATATACAAATGTATAATTACGCAATTCGCCCAGGAGCGAAAGGCCGTCTCCCGCATCATCATCTACTAAATTGTACCGCAAAATTATTATTGTTGCAGGTACTACGAGACGGGGTCGATAAGACCCAGGGCCATTGGCGGTAGCAAACCACGGGTTGCTACTGCTGAGGTCGTCAGTAAGATATCCCTATACAAGAGCGAGTGCCCTTCGATATTCGCGTGGGAGATAAGGGATCGTTTGCTCCAGGAAGGAGTCTGTACGAACGACAACATACCGAGTGTGAGTAATTAAAAAAAAATTAATTAATTTTTACATAAGGGTTGTATAACAGGTCGACGAGTTGTACCTCGGGACTTAATATCGCTTGAGTAGTGTATGAGGGGATAGGTGTAATCGAGGAGATGTTATGGACTACCCCCTATCTCCCTTCACCCCCTCGTCCATGTACCTACATAATAATATAAAGTACGCCGCAAAACACGCGTAATGGACCCCTGGTTGGTAAGGGTGACGCGCAGGCGTATTGTCCCCCCCCCCTGGACCCTTTTGTCTACTCACACAAAACAGCCTTGGCATTTACATAGATAGCCAAGTCAGAGGACTGGAGGGATGAAAATCACTTTTGGGGATGGTGGGATAGTGGAGTCGAGCGCCGATGATGGAGTCACGGATTACGACTAAACTCCGCCTCGAAGGCACACCTCACTCGTTGAGGGGGTCGATAACGTGGGGGGGGGGGGG